AACACCCCCCGACACAAACACAAACAAGTAGCGACGAGGACAGACGCGAGGATGCACGCACACACGGGCAAGTTAACACCGGAGACGAAGGAGTGACACGTTCGACGTAAGGACGCGGCCAACGGGTGTGTGTGGGCACGCACAGGATTAATTCGCACCGCCTTTGGCTTTCTTCACCCCACTGCTGTTTCCAACTATTACCACAAAACTATGCCGCAAACACATCATGGCATCATTCCTTCATACCGTAGTACAGATTCTGGGAGGTTCTCACCAGGGTCCACGATCCACGAAACAACAGTTAACTCCACGAAACCCGAGGGACCCATCGCATGTCGCACAACACACCATCGGACCTATGAAAACACCGCACCTACCGTACCAGAGGTGTGCAGCACGCACTACCTACCGCCGTGCACAACGGAAACCCGTCGGCAAACCATAGTAAACTTCGGCAAAACAAACATCCATCGAACCAACATTTGGCACGGCAGTCGCCAGTTTTCCTTACCGTAGTAGAGGTGAAGCCTGGTAAGGTAGTCCTTGCTGTAGTAGTTCGACCCGTACACGATCTGCCCGACCCCGCTCGGCACCCTCTGCATCACCGCCATCGCGTTGAAGAACATCTCGCGGTCCTGTTATCCCCCCCCGGCAAAAAAGGTAAAAAATCAATCAATTCAGACGGTTTCGTGCGATCGATCGAACGGTCGGTCGGGCAGCAGAGAAACAAGAGCGTGCTGAAACAAAAAGGCGTCGGATTCGTTTGTTGCGCAACGCGTAGGGTAGATGGAGGGCGAGCGCAGCACCAGGGTTCCGTTTTTGCCGCCCGCCGTTCCCTCTCGCACCTCCGTCGTCGGAAACCGCCGTTCTTCCGATAAGATAACAGAGGCAACACACAACTTTTCCATCACCGGCATTCCTCAGAAGCAGACAAGACCAAAAGATCACGTCGATAAATAGTACTCGCAGCAGAGAGGCATGTGCAACAGCAGGGTACACGATCACCCCCCCCCCCGCTCCCCACGAAAACGAGCAGCACACACCACGGGGCCGCCGGCTCTTTACCTGGTCACTCAAGGAGCGTATCTCCCTCCTCACGTACTTCACTTCGACCGTGAAACTGTAAGGCCCCGCCACTCTCGCCGACTCCTCGTTGCCCGTGGTGCCCCCCCTCAGGGTGGGGTCTTTCCCCGTCAGGGTGGGGTCGAAGACGACCACGGAGCACTGTCATTTTGATTGACCAATCATTCGGCAGACGTGGCGGGAGGGAGGAGGCACAGGATGAGGGGGAGGGATGCGCACGGGTTTAGAACAGCGAGGGGAGACCATGTGGGCGGTGGGAAGCAGCTGCTATGCATATGACGGCGGTCGGTTTTCGTGTGCGGTATTCGATACGTGGGGAGAGTCTACGCCCGTCTGCCTTGAGTGCGTTTCCGATGGATTGACGTCTGTGTGTTGGGTGAGCAAGTTGAGCACAAGTTGGTAAAAGAGGGATGCAGCAGTAGTAGCTGCCTACAAGAGCGGAGTCGCAACAATCCTTCCCTCTTTTGCCGCCGCACACCAAGCGCTTGTCGAACAGCTCCTCATGGGGCCGACAACGGAATACCTCAGCTTCTGCAGAAAATTTCGTCCGATGAGCTATGATCACAATAACGAACACACGGATTGTGTTGCCGCAAGACTCTTTTGAAGACGGGAATAACTCGTTCCCCACGCACACAAAATTCGTCTTGTGCATGTTAGCAAACAGCCCTGGCCCACACCAAAAAAGCAGTCGTCACACGTCATAACGCTAGCTCTATCCAGAGCTCCAAATCGAAAACAAGGCTTCTCTGTCTTCAGAATCGGGTTCTCACCTCGTATGATCCGACCGCGCTAAAGAGCACGTCCACCGATCGACCGTACCCTTGGAGGTGTCCATCAGCGTCCCACCTAGAGTACAAAGCAAAAGGGACGAAAAACCAGAGAGGCATTATATAAGAACGACATCCGATTTTCCAAGGCTGGGGGGTGGGGCGGGCGGGCGGGCGGGGGCATTTCGCCATCCTTTGGACCGCTGGTTGTGGTCTTATACGCGCAGCGCGCAGCCCAGTGTTTTTACTTCGCCAGACGAGAAAGTACCTCATGAACGAAGCTATGGCGACATGATAAAACAGGTTTGTACTTATGGTGTGCGCGTGCGGTATTGACAGCGTGCCAACCGCAGTTTAGAAAACGGATGCGGACGACGCCACAGAGCAGAAGGACTTCAATTCCTTGAAACAACCAGTACTTGGAGACCTATTCAATGCTCGAGGACAAGATTCGCACCACAAATCGTGTGGCGTTCGGACGGGCGCATCTGCGGCCATCGTGACGCGTCGGATAGCTCGTGGTGTGCTTTTAGTCTCATCTACATGCTATCTACGATTCTGGGTGCCAGTCTACAGGACCTTTCGGCAATGTTAATGTTTGACGAAGCGTGCACAGCAGTAGTTGCCTCGTTTAGTATCAGGATGGCAAAATCTTGTATATTATATTGTGTGTACCGTAAGGGTCGGAGAGATGGCACCCCCGTGTTAGCGTTTTTGTATAGCGTATTTCTCCACAACCAGGGGGGTACCACTGCCGAAAAGGGTAGTTTTGGAAACATCTCGTCCAGGGCTTTCCTGAGAGGTATCGGTTGGTGTTCCACCCTTCTAGTTGTGGAGAAATACGCTACAAAAAAACGCGAACACGGTGGTGCCACCTCTCCGACTCTTACGGTATTGAATCTGGTAAGATGATTTCATGTAGCATAAGCAGTAACGCGGTCAATTTTTGTCTTTCGAGCGATAAACAGGAACAAACCAGCGCTGCTTCGTGACGTGTACCGTCTTTGTTGTCGGTGTAAGCGCGAGCATCACCCACCCCCGCCTCTATGTACGCATACTGCTGTATGCGTATGTGCTGCTGTTGTGCCTTCGGCGAAAGTCGACACCAGGTTTTGCTTGTTTCAAGAGAAAACAAGACAGCACAAAACGGAGAGGTTGCCTCGTGTGACACTTGGACCCCAAGGCAGTGAATGTCAAGGTCGACGGCTGTAGCTAGTTGATCCGCGGCGGGCGACTGTTTTCATGAAAACACGCTAGCGGGTGCCCTGGTTGCGTTGTGTGATGCATTGCACACGACGACGGCACCGACGAAGGGCCTCTACATGTATCCTCTATCCTCTACTATACGACGCTGTGTGTCCCATTTCTGGAGGCCATTGTTGTGACAGCAGTCAACATCCAGCACCAGGATCCATACATGTAGTAGTTTGCGGTATTTCGACCGCATCTATGTGTGCTTCGTTGGACGGGGCGTTAAACTCACTGGACTCCTTGTCCAAGCCCATAGTATCGGTCCCACATAACCATATTCTACATAAGGCTGTGAGCACTTCAGGCGCAACCCCGACCATAACTTTTGGGTCCAAAATCCCATATGATCTGCGGTGTTCATTTTCACGTGAAAAAAACATTCCGCATATTTTCTCGTTTGACCCTTTGAACCTTTTTTCTGCATGTTCGGCCGCGGCGGCAGCAGCTTGTTCCGCTGCTAACGTATCTACCTGGCTGGCAACGGCGTCTGTGCGTAAAAGGATAGGCGACTACCACAAGTGTGCACGGGCACATACCGTGACAGTAGGCCAAAGGGGATCAGCGAATACACACAGCAGGCAGACCGTTATCGAAAACGGCATCTACCTCTCGCGGGGAAAAGCGGCAAACCACTCTTTTTCCCCCTCATCTCTGGTGCCTTTCGTCGAGCGTGCTCCCTTTTTTCTCACCTGTATTCCAGGTGTTCTCCCGACACGGGCCAGTCCAACAGCTCCATCGTGGAGGGCTTTAAAGGCTCCGCCATGTGCTCCCAAGGGTACAGAGTAATCGGGTTTTGCAGGGTGTACGTGTTGAACATCCGCACTTGGAGCTCCGTCGTCGTCGTTTCTCCGCTACTATCCACCTCCGCCGCCAAGTTCGCTTGCTGCTGCTCCCCAGCTGCCATCGCCCCCCCGTCCATCCCCGATTGCTCCACCGGCGTTGACGAGGCGCTGAACGAACCCCTGCTCGGGGACGACGGCGCGATGTATCTCGACGACGTCGTTCCTCCAAGCAACCCGCACCCGAAGAAGACCACTCCGGCAAGCACGGATAGCATGACGAGATGCCGCCGCTCGTTGCGGAACGCCATGCTCTTGCTACACCTCAAGCTGGGCCACGAGCCCAGGCGTTGCTCTCCCATGGCTTCCGTGTCCCGGGTCAACGAGTCCGTCTCCTCCGCTCTTCTCCTCTTGTTTTGGGACATCGAGCTCGCTCTACTCGCCACTTCCGGGGCGAAACCAAGTGATCGTGTCACTCGTCACGGAATCACTCATGCCTCGCTCCTCTCGCTCCTCTGGTCACCGCCATAGGGGGGTACGTGGATGCACAAATCAATCATTCTGCGTTGCCCCCAGCGGCTTTGCTTGCTTCGCACCGACCCCACCTGTCTCCTCCGCCGCTCTCTCGATTGCTGCGGTGACACCGTGGCTTCATAGGTGGTGCCTGGCGGCTATGAAACCTGTCGATTTACATGTACTACTGCAGAAGACATTTTTTTGCCATGGCCGGTCTCCTGTGCGCCTCTGCTGGGTCACGTGCTAGATCGCGTACATGTACCGATGCTCTTCTCTCCGCAACGTTCAGGCGCGGATGCGCAGCAGCAGCAAGACCGACACCGCCCGTGGCTGCAGCGAGGGTGGGGTTTGTCGTGACCCTAGAGCGTTCCGTTGTCACCGACACCGAGGACGGGGCTCTATGGAAGAGGTATTGCTTACAACGCGCTCCTCCCGTAGAGCTTGACAGACTTGGAACGAGTACACTGATGCGGTTCAATTCAACTTGTGCCCGTTGTTCAATTGGTGTTATATTGTTGTAATCTTAAAGTAGGCTGGTACATAGCGCCAGGCTAGGTGGTAGGCTATGTTTCGTGCTCCCGTGTGGCTCTTCTCCTGTCTCCTGGGCATCCATCTCCGTCTACATTATTTTTTGCGTTTTGTGCTGCCGCAAACGCAATGGAGTTCATCGTGTTCACGTCACGCCCGCCTTTCGGCGACATTCAGCAATCGGTGTGGGCAGAGAGCACCCATTCAATGTTGCCGCCACCGCTTTCCGTCACCATGCACTTACACTCATGTTTTCGGTTATAATCTTGCAGCGGAGTGTTCGACGCGGAAATACATCCAGACCTACCCCCGGCGGGTACCATGGCTGGGCTTGCCCGCTGCTACCTTCGAAGAGCGAAGGCGGCCGTGTTCGAGATGAGACCCGATGGGAACAGCGACAGCAGCAGCGAAGGGGAGAAGGCAGCAGGATCGGATACAGACACCGTTGGTCGATGCGTTGCTAAGGAAGGAAACGAGGGGGGCTATCTCGTCCGCACCGTCCCCGTGCAACTGTCGCGACAAAAGGCGAGAGACGCAGCAGGTGTCGATGATGATGCGCGCTCCGAAGGCAACCTTTACGCAAATAGTACAACACATGATACAACGGTATGAACGAGCGCATCTTATGTCGAAGGTGGGACAAGAACAGGGGCTGATACGTCAAATACATGCCGCCGACTGGCGCCAGACTACGATTTTCATCACAACAACATTGGCCGCGTCTCGGCACCAGACGTTCGAGGCAAGCTGCTTGTTCGCACCTTGAACGAGAATGGAGAGCAAACGAACGATGAGCGTGTTTACGCCGACCTTGAACAGATACGTACATTTTATGGAGTGGTACCTTTTAATCGTCGCACTACCGAAAACATCTCATCTGGCGCCCCCCCTCCCCGTGGCCGTGGCGTGGCACACACACACGTCCTTGCTGCAGGAACTTCGACGACGCCTTGCGGTAGCGGCAGGGGTAGATGCGGAAGGGGCCAAAGTCCGGAACGTGCGGCCTGCCGATGCGCTACTGCTGGTGCGTTTGTGGTCATTACCCGCAGAAGAGGGTCTTGACTTGTGACTCTTTTCGCGAAAGTGTCCCGTTCTCGCGAACGTTTCCACCGTCCCAAAACTCGGGGGACTATGTATCGGGCGAGAGCTAACGCAGGCTAAACCACAGCCCCCAAGGGACGGGTTTGACCTACGGCGTTAGCATTGGCACACGCCATTGGCATTGCCAGACAGTGCTGTCTGCGGTTTGTTTTCGCCTGAGCTTATTTATCACCTATCTCGACGCGTTGCGATCCGCCATGTGTCATCTGTTATGTGCCATGTGTGTCTTGGGAAGGTTTCTGGAAGCCACCCCGGGCGACGCCTGCCGTTCGCCAAGAGTTTCCTCCCGGACGTCTACGACGAGCTTCGCTTGGCAACAAGCATGCGAAATAGGTGAGAGCCTTCTAGGCGGAGCCGATGAGAAGCAGACTGGTGCCGAAAGCAATGCGTTCTGACGGGTTTTTTTGTTCAAGGCGAATACCCTCGGCGGATCGTTGTGTGTCAACTCTCGTCAACACGACGGTCACCAAACTCTTTCCTTGGATACGGTGAGTTGGTTTCCATGCTCGTTTTCACATACAGTATATTATTTTCCGTTTGGCGGCTGTGTCTTGCAATCGCGCAATCCCTCACTCGCAAGCGGCCGTTTGCCGAAGGGGTTGGCCCTTTGGGCAGTCGCGAACCCTTTGGCGGAGGCGGACGAGGCGGGGGTTGACCGCGTTCGGAAGAAGGTGGAGCTCGGGGCAGAGGTTATTCTCACGCAGCCGCCTCTTGCTTGGGAACTATTCGAACGGTGAGAGAGAAGACCTTCGGAGGAGGCAAAAGCCTTGCGGCCTGTTGTACCACAATTTTTTTTAGCGCCAAGCCGCCGGACGGGCGCGTGAAGACTCTATCCTAAATGTTATCTTGTATATGCAACGGTAGGGGCATGTTCAGCGCCCCCCTTTATACCCGGTTCGGTCACGCTTTGCTATTTGCGGTCGGCTTTCGACGTAACGTCGTGGTGACCCCGACGCCAGCGGAAAACAAGCGGGTGGCACTCGGCTCGCGCAAAAAAATGGACGTGGCTTACAACCATTCTCCAGGTGGCTGCAAGGCGTTCACGCCAGCGGGGCTCTGGGGAGAAGTGCCGCGGCGAGAAACGCCGGATTGACGAAACCCGGGGAGGGGACGGATGCCACGGTGAAGATATTCGAAACGTCCGGGTCGACGGGCGAAGAGCGGTCTACTCGCCACCCGCTTGCCGCAGCAGAGGGACGAAGAGGAGGAGACCCCGCAGCGAGGATTCTGGTAGGGCTGCCTGTCATCACCTCACCCAAGGGGCTCCGCTTCTGGCTCGACCTGTGCGGGTTGCACGACAAACCGGGTGTCTGCAAGCAGGTCTTCGAGGCCTTCGGACAACCTTCGTCGGTCGTGGCGAGAACGGGGTCTGAGGAACCACACGCACACCCCGCCGGGGAAAAGCAAGCAACAGCCGTTGCTGGGTCGCCTCCGTCCCCGTACGGGCAGGAGTGGTTGGAGACTACAATGTTGAAGCTCAAGAGTCTAGACGGGAGCGGGTTGGGCGTGGCAGGGGTGCATCTCATGGCGCCTGGCCGAGCGCCCCGGCGGCGGGCGATAGAGCTTGCCGCCACAGGATTTTTCGGGAAACCTCGCTGATGCCGGTTGTTCTAATTGTAACCGTAATTTTTTCATTCTCAACCCGTCAAACCAAGCCGTGTGCTCCACCTTACTGTCACGAGTCTCTTCTCTTCTCGTTGTAAAGTTCTTTCCCCGCACGCCCTTAACATCGGTGCTCGAGTCACGATACACTGACAATTGCCACACAATTATATCACAACGGCCACAAAACATCCCCCCCTTCCCCGAAGTTTTTGTCCGCATGCCCTCATCTATCACGGCCAGCTTGTAACAACTCTACGCCCACAACGTGCAGGGCCGAGCCGCTCACCTTGAACAAATACAATTCTCCACCAATACATGGTGAGTTTCTGTGTACATGAATCACATCCTCCCACGGTACCCCAGAGGACCGGGGCATCGGTAGGCCCCCGCGTCCGAAGACCATGCGCATGGTAATATTGTGTACAGTCGCTGGCACCCGAATCCCCTTTTCCGTTCCTCGCAAAACTCCGAAAATACAAACAAGCCACCACAAAAAAAAGACAATACGAGCAATATGCCCGACTCTTCCCTCAACAACGCCAAGCGTCACCCATTCAAACTCAAAATGGCGCACGGCACCCTCCTCAATAAACAACCTATCGCACTGCAGTCCCCCTCCCCCGACCTCCATTTTCCCTCTTCCTTAACGTTCAACAGTATAGTGTTGAGGAAAACCTGAAGGGGTGGTTCAGCCGGAAGCTGCAGCAGCCACCTAACCCCGCTGTTGCTGCCGACATACATCGGGACCCTTTTTACACGCAGTCCCCGCCCCCCGCCCCCTCGAAGAAAATCTCAAACGATATGAACACGTACAGAGGACCCACCAAGTATCCACGTAGCCCGTAGCCCCCCCCCAGCCCGTTTTTATGTACATCTCCCCACTGGACGCGTCGATTGTGGATCCGGACGCGTATGCCGAACTCCCCTGAAGAATGCACAACGTCCTCTCCACCCCTTCGTTATCAGAGGTTATTATTAAGTCTGTTTGTAAACAAGCACGCCCTCGTGCGCACACACCACACACCACCATCGCCATTTTTTTCCGATCGCTTTTGCGGCCGAACAAACACACCTACCCCCCGGGGGTCGCTACCGCCGCGCGCCGTGGGCGAACAGGGGTGGCGTTCTGCCATCCAAGCTGTCCTTGGATAACACCTTGTTGGAAAGATCCCGCTACTTCACCACGCATTTCCAGATCGTCCACTGGCGACATCGCACGTTCTTCGCCAACTTTTGTTAACCCCGCTCGGTTTGTTCTAGGTAAGAATGCCGCTTGTGTCCTCATCGCTTGTTCGCCCTTCTTGGCTACGTCGCATGATGAAGCGCCCGACGCAAGTAGGCTGTTCGGCGCGGGAGTGGGGTGTCGGAGAGGATGGTGCGAGGGCGGAACGGAGGATAGACGGAGTGGAGTGAGCAGGCAGAAAGAGGAGGACAACGGCAAACCCTTACGGGAAGGAACCGAGAGAACCCACCGAACGTGGAGCGCCGCAATCAGACTCAAAGCAGGCTTCGGCACAATCGGCTACGATGACAACAACTCTTTTCCGGAAGATTCAGTCGTTCGTTTATGGGCGACAAAGCTTTTCCCATACTGTAACTCCAGTAACTTTGCCATCAATTTAAACGAAGTACACGTGAGGGGACGAACCTGCACCTGCAGTCAGCCAGTGAGCCTAAATAAACGCGTACATACCAGCCAAAGCAGAGCGTGCATACTACGGGCGATTCCCGGCACTGGACGCTAGAGCTGCTTGGAGAGGGCAAAGCGTCGGGTACGTATGTATGCCCCCCCCCCGCGCGCGCGCCAGATGCCACAAACGCAGCCGTTCAACGGAACAGAACTGTGAGTCTGCTCCTCACCTCTAGGAAGCCGTACATGACGTACCCGCTGATCTTCAAAGGGATCTGTTCGGGGCAAAACCAAAACCCGACAAGGGGGAAGGGAAGGGGGGGCAGAGGGAAAGCAGTGCGTCGGAACAGAGGTGGGCTAGGGTGGAAATACTTCCCGCTGTGTGTCTCACCGCACACGCTGCTGAACAGCGGTGAAAATCGTTTTGAGAGCAGGGGGGCAACATCAGCCCCTCCCTTTTACGCCGAGACGTGCCACGAAGGGTGAAATACGAAGACAAAGCAGAGGGCCAAACGCGAGATTTTCTGCTTCGATACTTTTCCCGAGGAGACTTTGCGAGTTGGTACATTTTGGCCCACGCTTTCCACACTTCTGGACATAAAGGCAGAAGGGGGACTTCTGCTTGCGTGCTCCGACTTTCTCCTCAGCGCTCAAGAGTCCACACGCATGGCCTCGATGCCGAGCATCACACCAACGGCCTTTGGTCAAAGGGGACTTGCACCGTGCTGCCACGAACCTTGGAATCGGGCGGACCCTCAAGCTTAGTTCCCCAAAACATGTGGTCCCCGTGCATCTGTACGCCGTGGCTCTTGGAGCGGACTACCGTCATGAACATCCTGATACGCACGTTTGGTCGGGAGAGGGGGGGGGGGGAGGGGCACAGCGATACTTGGTGCAAGGGCCTTGAAAACACCGCTACCAACTGTCGTCAAGTTCATACACGCATACGTTAGGAGCGCGTAGGCAGCCGCTTGTCTCTTACCAACTTGGGAAACTATCAAGACAGTGCAACCTAAGATCTGACATCCCCAACCTCAAGTCGCACACATACATGGTACGTAGTTGAACATCAAACCGTCGCCGTGAAGCTCAAACCGCTGATATATTTCAAGCACGTGGAATCTTTGGCCATGGCGCCGCGACAACGTTGACATAATCAACACTGTCGAAACAACGGGCCCAACAGAAAACGCTTGCGTTGATTCAGCCTGTCGCTCACGGAAGTACACGTCTCACTCATTGGGTAAGAGCGGAGTACAGACCTCCGTAGTGGAACAATTTTCAACGCGAAGGCAGCGGCAATACAGCAGCACACCTTTCAGTTCCCCAGAGGTTCCACCTCCCTCCTAGCTGGCCACTCCCCAGCCCCTTCAGGCTCTCGAACTGGAGGTCCTCCCCGAGGTGAAGGCGGAACACAGCTCCGGTGTCCTGCCACATCAGGACCCAGTCTCCCGCGATGGCCGCCTTTGAGTACTTGGGGGCGACGTACTTGGCCTGCGACGCGCGTCCGAAGGTGCGACGTGATGCGGGTGACCGCCAAGTGTTTCCGGTTTTGGCTTGAGTGGGCGGTGTTCGATACGAGACTGACCTACTTACTTGTGTAGGCCACTCAGCCAAGCCCCGTCGCAGATAACAGGCGGCTTGTTCTTGGCGGGAACAGCAGTTGCGCTCTGCAGGCCGTTTCGAAGCACAATAACAGCTACAAGCAAGGCCTGTACACTCGTAGCCACCTCGTGCACCATGAGTCAACACCGTCATAAGGGAATGAATTGATCATTAACGCCACCCTTGGAATAGCGTGGCAAGGCCACGGCAACCCTTCTTGAACCAGGTATCTGCTCACCTATGTACTCCAATGTGGAGTTCCTGACTTGTGACAACTCCATGTGTTCCGATGGTGTGATCGTCGTACCAACGTGTTTAGACCATCAACATCGACAGAGATGACACATACCCATAACTGGTGCAGTGGTAGAGTTACTGGATTTACGTAAAGGTGGCAAGACGGTAGGGGCTGCTGAAGGGCCGACAACATCTTTCAACAACAGCAGCAACACTGACCGAATCGTTCGCCTCGGCGGCCTTTTTAAGGTCCGACGCCATGGAGGACTCCACCGGCGTCATCTTGAACTTCCCGACCACCGCAGGGTCCATCTGTCCCTCGATCACGCTCCCTTCCACGACAGAGCTGAACTTCTTCAGCACGCCGACGTACCTGCGCAGAAACCAGCCAACAAGAAAGAGACAAAATCGAGAATACGCATAAGGAACGCGCCGGACCAGATACGAGGGGGAAGTTCAGAGCGCGTGTGTGCGGATATGTTACGATAGGCTTCATATGTTGTGGAAGAAGAAGCCGGGCAGCGGGCGCGAAAAAAGCGGCGTGTTTTGTTGCGGACGTTGTTGCGGCACACCCTGCATGCAGACTTTTCCCCACGAAACACACAGATTCAACCACCATGAAAGTTTGGGTCTTGAGTTGTTGCGTGTGCAAGCACCAACACCACGACGATCAACCGTCTTCCACAGTTTCCCTTCGGTACTTGCAGACATATCCGTTACCCGCGCACAATCTCTAACCCTCTTGGATCCTAGACCTCATGTATAGCTAGCTTCCCTGGCTACTTGAGAGCATTAAACGGTGACGATTGGCTTTGATCCACACGCTTACTTGAGGTCGTCCAGAAATCTGGACTGTGACTTTCGGTTGACCGTGAGGGAGAACTCGTTTCCTCGCACGCGCCAGCGCCCCGCGTGATCGTCCTTCCCGTCAGTCCCGCTCACGGCCGTGTGCACTGGGGGGTGCGGGACGTTCAAAACAAGAGAGCGAACGGAGATATAAAAGCCAGCGGTGGTTATTAAGGCACAAGCTGTTGGGGGGGTTCCCTTCGACATGCAGATAAGATGCACTCTGCTGCCTTCAAAGGGAGAGCGGGCCTCGGCCTCTGCCTGTAATCGAGTATGCAGTATGCAGTGCACAACTCTGCCTACCGTCGTCATCAGAACCACAGAAATAATTGCAGGGGTCCTGAGTCCTGAATCTTGGGTACAACACTTTCTACGACGCCGGTAGTCTCGTGAACAACGGCAGTGTCATTGAAGCCGCAACGTGACGACTACCACAGCGGTAGTGCTGTTTAGAACATATGTATGCGTAGTATTCAATCAAAGGGAGCTACCCGTTCGAGATACAACCTAGAGCACAGCAAATCAAGGCAGATGGGTTCCTCAAATTTTGAAATTTTGAATTTTGAAAATCACGTCAAGTTCAGCACCCCAGGTCAACATGCAGCCAAAAAACCGCTCCTGCCTTGTGAACCTGAAGAGGATACCTTGAAGCGTCTACAAGAGGTTGCGGGACATTTTGGATTCAAAAGATAATAGCAGGAGACCTGTTTGATAAAATGATCGCTCGTTTCGGCTACCACGCACGAAACATCATACGACAAGCAAGGGTCTACAGAAGGGGCTCCGCGTCATCGTGGCTTCTGATGGAAGAAAAATTACCAAACGATGAGGAACGACAACAACTTCTGTGCTGCTAATACACGCTCACACGCTGTGTGCCAATAGAAGAGTCACCTGATCCGTCGTCGAACAGAAACACGAACATGCTGTTGGGCTTCTGGGTGTCCAACACCGACTCCACCCTCCACGATCCAAGGCCGTTAGGCGTGCTTCTTCCGAACAAGCCTGGCGCGGGAGCTGATGGAAATCCATTTGTCGTGTGGGGACCGGCGCAGCAAAGGACGAGGAACGTGGTCGCGACAAAAGAATCGCACGGCATGCTTGTGTTGGTCTCTGCTGTGTGTGCACTGACACACGCTGCTGCACTACACAGCACAGTAGTGAACAGCGGTGGTGCTTGCGTGGCCACTTCAAGTGTCAGTCAGCGGCTCCGCGACATCATCGGGCAAGAGTACCTATACCCCGGTGAACGTCTGATAGTTCAACTTTGGCGCACACGCTCCCGCGCCTGCACAGGCGATGATCGTCCGTTCTTCCCCGCTGTGTCGTCCAGGAAGCCTTTAGAGGGAGAGAGAGGGAGGGAAGGATGGGAAACAAGCTTGGCCACCCCCGAGCTGCGCCGAACGGCCATCTTGCAAAGTATGAAGAGGCCCACAAGGAAGTGGAAATCTGCGGACAAACTCTGCGTCAAGTGTCAAGGTTCCGAACCAACAGGGTGCAAGAAGCGGTGATGTTGTTGTTCGCACTGGGTGCAAGCACGAGGGCATCTTTTGGGGTAGGCCGCAAGAAGGCGGGGAATCTGCAGAGTGAGCAAGCTCAGCAGGGGATGGGTGATGGATAGTCTTGAGCAAGAAGACGTGCGGCCACCTTATCGTGTTCTCGTCAACGGAAGGACGATACAACGCAGGGTTCTGTAGCGGCTGCAGCCTCCAGGCTCCATGGAGGCCCGCCGCTCAGAATGCCGTCTTTCAGCGGCGGACGATGTCGACCTCGACCTCTCACCGGCAGCCGCAAGTATCGACGCGGTTCCCGGATTTCGCAGCTCCACCCGAGCTGCTCGGAATGGCCGTCTCGTTCGTACTCCGTACTCCGTACAAGTAGTATGATACGGGGTGGAGAGATCCAGGAAGAAGGTTGGAAATCCTTAGCGAGCGTACCCAGCCGGAGAGACTGGTGGGTGAACGTCACATCAGTTACAGAGGCGGCCACCCCCCGCCTGCACGAAAAATGCTCGACTGTGCTCTCTTTACCACGAAAAGCCTGATTCGGGGCATCAGATCATTGCTAGCTCATTGCCCGCGCGGGCAAATGTATCGATGGCAGAGGCGCATGATGCCGCGCTGGATAGCATGCAGGTGGTAGCAAGTTCCACAGGAGCCGCTTATTACGTTGGGTGGCGAGGACACTCTTTTCTGCGAAGAAGATGGGGGCCTCCCCGAGAAGCTGTTGCTGGAAATTCGCACAGGGCTGGCGGATTGCCCTTTCCTTTGGAGATCCCAAAGCTGGAGATGACGGGGGGGACAAGAACAACGTCTTCCTGCGACAGCAGTTAAGACCATTGTACACCAGGTGTGTCCGATCCCGACGAGCTGGTGCAGCGACTGGAGTTGGGATCCACAGCACGGAAGAGCGTGAGACTGTGACAAGAGGAGGCCGGAACGAACCCCCCGTGTCCAGACAGCATAGACAAGTACAGGTCAGGACAAGTCGAGGGGGGGGAGAGTTCGCTGGTGGCTATGTACCGTTCTCTGCCAACAGAGTGACGTTCAGGTACTTGGTTTCGTTTGTTATTGCTGACCCCCTACTGTCTTGTTCTAAGTATTTTGCCACACCATCCTCTCCACAACTTCGCCGCTTCCCGTTGAATCTCTATTTAGTTTGGTCTGTCGTTGGTTTTGTTTGAATACGATTCTAACGCGTCGCCATTCACCTTGAATCACGGGAAGCCCGAAGGAGTGTAGCTGGACTTGCCGCTGCCGCAACCTTTGTTAGGTTCCCTTTTTGCCAAGAACTACTGTAGGTCGGGCCGGGGCTCCTTCTTTGAGTACTCCATGCTTTGTTCAGACACGCAGGCTTGACGGGGCGTTGACAAAAAAACTCTTGGCGCATTCACGGTCATTTGTCTCGTTCGGAAGTGCATGTTCGAAGGCGTGTTTTGCATTGACGGTGGCGGCACTGCTGTACCTGGCGCTTAGTCGTTGACCGCGACCGCGTTCTGTGGTTTTGCCTTGAGGTCTTGGATCGACAGCAACCTGTTGCCAAGGGTACGAGGTCTCATCTGTCGCACGTTGAACGTAGGATGGGTGCGAAAAGGGGAACACCCATGCTTCAGCCCGTACAAGTTGAAAATAGGAACCGTAAGATGGAAGACTTTTTAATTCTTGGGAACCATTCTTCTTTCGCCACCTATTTTTGGGCCGCGCTGATGCAAAACAGTTGGGTAGACATTGGTCCCAACCAGCGCAACTCGCACAGGCCTCGGATTTGTACGAAACCAGCGGGAGATCTTCGACATGTCCCATGCTGCATTCGTAGGTAGGTTTTGTACCCTTGCTGTACTTTGGGCCGGACTAATGTCATGTCATCACAGCTGAAGGTGCTGGTACTTGAAGCCTCTCTACACAGCTCTCAGCACCACGCTTCACGTGTCGGGTCCGAGTCGAAAAGAGATGACGGCATCGCTCGGGGCTCGCCACAAGAAATCGAGGTACAGATAGCAACGACACAGAAAGGTTGTGGCAACTTTGGATCCCCACCAAGAAGGTCTCACCAGCGATTATTCAAAGGTAGCTGCAGAGAAATAGTAGCGGAGAATCACGCGCTGTACGTGTTCTTTCTCCAAAGTTGTTGAAACATCCCGATGCGACCGAAACCTACATCCAATCTCAGTGAGGGCCAGCAAAGGAATCAACCCCTCAGCGCCAGGTTCTTATCGACCAAGGATCCACAATATCGCCACTATCTTGTTGACCTGTAGAGGATACCCGCAACTATCGATATAATGCTGCAGCGGTTTTGGATCCCAGCTCCAGCGAGAGCTGTTGAGGAGTGAATACCTTTCCTTAAGGTCTAAGCGTCCCTGGGGACACTCTACAATCGTCGTCGTGCAACAG